TTAAAAAATATTTATATTTTTTGTTTTCACTTTATTTAAATTATTATATTTCATTTTTCTTTTAATAATTTATTAATTTTTAAAGAAAACATATCAGATTAGATCAGATCGAAAGATCTGATTTATCGATAGGATTCGAATTCAAATTGAGTCCTATCAGATTCGTACGGTTCGGATCCAACATGAACAGTGTCAGATCAGATTCGAACATTGGAGGTCATTTTTGTCTTTTTATTCTATTGTTAGATTTAATTAGGGGTCCGATCTGATATGGTCGACTTCTGATCACCCCTATCTGATCCCAAGAGATCCGGTCTGATATATATTATATAATTATAAGTATATATGCATATATGTTATTTATTTATTTATAAATTTGTTATATTATTTATTTATTTATTTATTTATTTATAAAAAACATGTATACATATAATGAAAATAATTAAAAAATATTTGTATTTTTTCTTTTTACTTTATTTAAATTATTATATTTTATTTTTCTTTTAATAATTTATTAATTTTTAAAGAAAACATGTCAGAGTAGATCGGATCAAAAGATCTGATTTATCGATAGGATTCGAATTCAAATTGAGTCCTATCAGATTCGTACGGATCGGATCCAACATGAACAGTGTCAAATCAGATTCGAACATACCTTAATTCAAATCCGATCTGATCCATTTGCATCCCTAGATTCAATGTTTGAAAGGTCTGAGTTTTTGAGCCAGATCTATTAAAATTTGGGTAAATTGCTGAAACAACCTTTGAAGTTTCTAATTATTGTTGAAATCTCCCCTAAAATTTGATAACTGCAATTGCCTTCTCTATATTTTTTAAAACAGAGTAGATCCACTTCGTTAAAATCCTCTAACAAGAGATATAAAATTATTCAAAATGCCCAAAATTTTATTTTTGACCAAAATATTTATTTTCCAAATTATTTCTTCATATAACCCGTTCAGACCAGTTGCTTGCTGCACTTTTGGAGGATTAGAATAAGTGGATAGATAGCCACACATATTCCTGCAAGAATCATGAAATTATCATAATAATCAGTTTGGGGAGATTGTAAATATGCTGGGCAGAAAACCTTGTATATAAATATCATATTTTCAAACTTTGTAATCGCACTCGTACATATTTGTATTTACACTCTTTACAAATGCCAAAGAAAAGGGCCCCTATTTATATAGATTGAAGCCTGTGTGATCCCCCCTTTATCGACGAATTACACAGGCTATAGTGGTAGATAATAGAAGCTTACAGCCATTGTGGCAACCTCCGTTAAACTATCTGAAAAACCCGCCAAATCCCGAGGGGCCACATTGCCTTGAACAAGGAAATTATTTCTTAATTGTATATTGAATCCAATAAAAGAATAATTACATTTACGGCGTATTCTTTTTTCAGATTTTGAAAGGGTGAAAGTTGGTCAATCGGATTTTGGTTCTTATTGATCAAGAATCTCATATTTTTGTTTTTTATTTTATTTTTTCAAATTTATGTGAGGATCAGGAAAAGTTTATTTTCCTGGGTCCTAGGTGGATAAATAACTTTCTCACATAGAGGGAAAGTTGCCAAAACTTGAATGGGACAAAAATGCCCCTTTTAATTATGAATTTTTATGACTAAAATGGTCATTGCCTTATTTACATGAGAAATAAAAGAATATGGATAAATGCACTTACCCGGGTAAGTGTTTCCCAGGAACAACTTACCCAGTTAACTGCATTTATCCGGGTAAATAACTTACCGAAAAACGAACAGGGCCTTAAAATGAAGACTACTAGTAAGGCCAATTAAACATGTCAGCATCTTTGAATCACCCTTTCGAACTTTCTAACAGCCTGTATGCATACACAAACTGACCGAAAGAAATGCTTCAACAGAAGGATCCTTCCTAACCATGGAAAAAATGACACACTTGGTGAAAAACATAGAAAAAGATGACACACTTATGACAAATACACTATCTAGTAAATGGGGAAGCTTGGATCCACATCATGGGCCCAGGATTCCAGCTCCCCAAAGATATCCTGGGATGAAGTGAAGCCCATCTGGTAGGGGAGCTGGGCAGCTCTCTGAGAATCATTACCTCTTCTACATATTACATACAAGGAGGCCCCTGAACCAAATAAGGGTGTTCGTGGTCCGATTTGGTGCGGTTTACAGTAGGAGTGAGCAAATAGGTAGGTTCTCTCTAGAACTGAATGGAACTGACTCTATTCAATTTGTTACAAGGTAGGTACTGGTTTCAATTCTTGGAACCGATCTCCACCCAGGCCGGTTCCAGGGTCTAAGGGTTTATGGTTTACCCTATTTGAACTAGCCCGATAAACTGGACTTGGTTGACCTTGCTGGAGTCGACCTTGGAACCGAACTTGCCTTGAAATAAACCTCAAAATACTTTTGACAATGAGAAGATTTACACTCAAGCACTCATAGTTACAAAGGCCATGGTCTCACTTGACCACTGAGTTGCTTAAGTGGTTTGGTCATTTGTTTTCATTTTAATATTTGAATGTGTATAATAAGTAATATAAAAGTTAATATTTACAAAAATTATATTATATTAATAAGTTTTAAACCATACATTAATATATCATGATAACCTACATATTCAATTACTCAATTTCTTCAATAAAGATAATGCAAGTTTTAAACTATAAATTATATTTATTGAAAATCAAGCTTTTAAAGAACATGTTTTGTTTTATTTTGTTTGAAGGGGGGATACTAAAGAAAGAACAAATTCCACAGGTAGACCCTAGAACCGACCCTATAACTGCCAGTGTTAGAACCAACCTTCACAGGGCAGGTTCCGATTCCAAAAACCTGGAACCAACCCTACAAAGTAGGTTCTGGGCCAGTTCTGCCATAGAACTGAACCAGACCAATCCATGCTCACCCTAGTTTGGAGAATATTTCAGACCAAATCAGTAAATTATGATTTGAGAATTTCTCAGGCCAAATCAAATCAAACAGTTTTATTACAGTTTGGCATTTTCTGATATGTTTTGGAGACTTTGGAGTGGTATATAACAAAAAAATTAATTAACTAAAAGGGGCTAGGGCATCAAAGAGAAGAGATAAAGAGATTAATTCAATTATTAGTTAAAAGTTAAAATTAGAATTATAAGTCTTTAGTCTTTATTCTTTATTATAATTTTATAAAATAAATACATTTATTATATATTTTATAATTTAAAGCCTAAATATTTGATATTTTGTTTTATATATAAAAAAATTAATAAACCAAAATTAAAATTATATTTTGTTTTATATATTTGAAATTTTTGGTTTGGTTTATAAAATTTAATAAACCAAACCAAAGCCATAAACCATATTTTTAAAAACTTTGAAGCCGAATCAAACCATTTTTTACAGACCAAACCAAACCACAAATTCGATTTGATTCAGTCGGTTTTACAGTTTGAACCGTATAATGAACACCCCTAGAACTAGATATGAAGCCATTACATTTTTCCTCTAAAAGGCAGAAGAGATTTTAGGAAGTTGACCTTTTAGCTCTTTTTCTTCTGCCTGAGGATCCATGTAGTTGTCATTTGCATCAACCTCTTCAAGGCATAAGAGATTTTAGGAAGTTGACCTTTTAGCTCTTTTTCTTCTGCTTGAGGATCTATGTAGTTGTCATTTGCATCAACCTCTTCCCTCAGAAGGGGAAGTACCCAAGGAAGCCAGAGATTTTAGGGGTGTTCAAGGACTTGAGTAGAGAGATGATCTTGAAGTGGTTTTCTGGATGTGCATCCACTGATACATGCACCTCTCCATTAACAATTCTCTCTCTCTCTCTCTCTTCATTAGGCTTCATTTGGTTTGTGGGATGGGAAGGGAAATATGGAATCCCATAATTTTGGTGGAAAGGAGGGAGAAACTTGTTTAACATAAAAAACACCTTCCTTTTAGTGTTTTTAAGAGTTAATGTTAGATCAAATGCATGGCCCATTAATAAATTATTAATTATTTAATAAGACAACAATAAAATAGTTTAATTATAATTAATTATAAAATAAAATATTAATGATCAAAATACTATATAATAGAACATATTTTAATTAAATCACAACTATTTAATAGTTAACAAAAAATTGTTAACAATTGATTAATAATAAAACATAAAATAAAAGAAATACTCCTAATTAATTCATAAAAAATTAAAATACTAATTAATGCATATAATTAAATAACTAATTATTAATATAAATTAATATCTAATTAGTAATGAATAATAAAATACTACACAAATAATATATTATCAAATAATTACAATAATTATTTATTATTAATTTACTTAATAAATAAAAATAAAGATTTTGATTAATTAAAAATTAGTAATACAAAATAGAAATGATTGATTAATTTTAAAAAATAAAATTAACAATTGGCGGACTGATTACATATTAAAGTAAGAAAAATATTAATAATAAAACATAAAATCATATAAATATTACTAATTGCCTAATTAATAATAATTATTTGGATAGATTTTCCCACTATTTTCCCTATTGCAACCAAGCGAGGAAACAAGAAAAATTTCCACCCATTTCTAGCAATTTGTGGTAACAACTTCAACTTCGAAGGGCAACTGCATTCAATTAAAAAAAAAAACATACAAATCGATTAGTCCAGAACACGACGTTTCTTATCTCTGTAACTCTGTGGAACATCATCACATTTGTGTTCTCAGATATTATTGTTATTTTATATATACCTGGAGAATACAAAGGCAGTGCAACTGAAAGAGGAATGCTCATCATCTCATCCACCTCTTGGCTCTCGCTGTAAGATGTAAGAAATAGCAAACAACGCTGGCAAGCCTGGCATAAATATTTAAGATTTTCAGTATGATCTGATCAGAGTTTCTCTACACTATAGTACGATTTGAAGCAAGAACTCAACACCAGTAACCGAAATACATACTCGTGTCAGGCAGACTGCGAACATGTCGCGTTTCTAATGCAGTTTTCAGTCCCACGACAAAAAAAAAATTATCCTTTATTCTATACTATTTTCTAGATCACGGGATTGATTACCAAACACAATTTCATTCAATTCCATGAAAGACAAGGCCTCCTCCCTGAATTGATGGACGGATCGCCAACAGAAAGTACGTACTTTTAACTAATAAATATAGATAACCAAAGATCCATGATACACATCACCTCCAATAGCTAGTCCACACCATAAACTCACTACCAGGTAGCAGCAGCGAGCAGCCATGGCCATTTCTACTTCTTCATGCATACAACATAGTACAACACTTAAATATTTAATTATTAATATCATCTACGTCTACGATGGGGTTTCAGAAATCAGAAATCAGGAATGCAGCGCATCCACCAATCGATTATCGATGTGGGGAGTGTCATCCTCCTTGTCAAAGGAGAGCGGGTGTGCAATCCATGGGAAAGGGATTGCCCAGAACGTTCTCCATGTAGTAATGCGGATGTGCTGCATCCATCACCACAAACTGCATCTCTTCCGATGGTTTCCAGTGGCGCTTCCTCTGATTGATAAACCAGTTGTTTATCTGCTTCTGATCCAGACCTGTAGACTCCGCCAGTGCCAGCTTCTGTGACTCCTGTAATAACAATTAATATTTAACCATCTATTGGCAATGAACACAATATAGATAGATATGGAGTTGGGTTAAGGGAGAAGATCTAGACCCAGTCTGGGGGTGGGGGGTGGGGGGTGGGTGTCCCAGATCAGGGCCTCTGCGTCAACATGGTAATTAACTAAAACAGATGGCAGGATATAGAGATACCGACCGATGGGTAAGGCCATTTGTAGTGTCGGCTCCACCAATCCAGCAATTGCTGCCTGGCTTCCTTGGGCAACTTCCCCTTCTTTCTCTTCTTCAAAAATTCCTGCTTGAGGCTGCCCAGATATCCACTGTACTTGCGCAGAAGTTGACCTTTTAGCTCTTTTTCTTCTGCCTGAGGATCTATGTAGTTGTCATTTGCATCAACCTCTTCCTCAGAAGATCCATTTCGATCTGTACCCTCACCACAAGCTGATGGCAGGGCATATGCAAGTTAAAGAGAGAAGCTCCAGTATTAATGAAATTTGAACATTCCTATAAACTTTATACAATCATGTAATGAAGTTTAAAATGCTTTTTGGAAGGGCGTCCAAGCTTCAGAAAAAAAAGTACATCATCTGGAAATAAAATTAAAACAAACTATGATATCAAACACAGTAAAAACTGTATTCTTGATTGAGATGGACTTTGATATTAGAAGAGATATACAGATGCTGGTCAAATACTTGAATCATCCGAAAGCCCACATTCAAGTTGAACAACATATTGAAACCATCATCACCAAAGTATTCCAAACAAAAATCATCTTACGTTCAGGGGTGGAGCTAGGGAAAAAAGGGTTTGGTGGGAGCTTTTAACTAAAATGCATTTGAATGGTTAGTTGTAATAAATAATTAAAAATGTTTGGGGACTAACTTTTCATATAACACATGCAATGCTGACGTACACATTCAACCAAGATTGCAACTCATATCTGAAAATCCTTTAGAAAAATTGAGATATCAAGGGTCCCTAGAGAGTAGAGAATTTGATTTTCTTCATAACAATTATCCCAATCGAGGCAATTAATCATAGAATTGTATACAGTGAGACATGATAATGTTATCCAGACACAAAACAAGAAAGTATAAAAATTATATACATGTCACGAAAATTCTCTATACCACGTGGATAAAAAAAAAACAGACCAATGCAAGACTCTAATGTAGATATGAAGAAATGATCAACAAGTAAAATTGGCCTTGGATTTTGCTCTCCTATTTGCTTCTTCCGTTTTGTTTTTTTCCTCATATAATTTGTTCCACAAGATATTGGATGGGGGACACACAGATCATGGCCAAAGCCATTTCAAACTAGTGATGCAGACATGGTTTTAAGCATTGATGGGGTGCATTGGTACTTCAAACCATGTACATTTTATTTTTATTACTTTTCTTTTCAAACTTTCATTTTTATAGATATTTTTATATTATTTAATAAAGGGTTTCATGAAAACACCTTTCAACAGGTGTGTCAAAACCTCACAATACAATACGATACTTTGAACCTTGCTACAATGAAATGAATCACAGACAATTGATGATAAGAGAATACATGCATAGCACACTGTAGAAGACCTTGAAGACCATTGCTGGTGTTGAATAATAGAAAACAAACTAACCTAATCCAAATGAAAATCTTAGCTACTATAATGTGAGAGAACAGGAAAAAAGCCACGCTAGTGGATGGCCCTACCAATCAAACAAGACCGTATAAGCAGTTCCCACTCCCCAAATTATAGCGCAAACTAATATAATCAAAGAAAAAAATTAAGAACTCAAAATCCCCAACAACCATTTACTAATTCTCATATCAAATATGTGCCTTCAACTTTTTTTGCATTTCTTAGATTTTGCATACCAAAAGGTACACGATAAAAGTTTTGCCGTTTTTCTAAGGTATCATTCCACTGAACTTCTCTCAGATGCACACATGTATTTAGTACTTTATGCATTAGATCACAATGGACTTCAAAATTTTCCATTGGCTTACTTATATTAATTTGACAGAATATCTCAATTAAAAGAATCTAAAAGACAAAATTTCCAAAATAATGAATCATCCTTTCAGTTTGTTAATACACCTCCTATAAACTGTGTTAATATAGACTTGCTGTAATTGATAGTACTAAGTGAAAAATTAAGATGGGACTGTCAAAGGTGGCAACAGTGTACTTGTACAATTCATCACTGTAACACCTGATCTAGTATGTGCCCTAACATATATTAGCCACCTAGCAGGGAAAAGCACATGGATGAATGTAAAAAAAACAAGTAAATGTCGATACCCAAGGATGGCAACCTGAACTTAGAATTCTCAAATCTTTACAGAAAAGTCACCATGGATACAAGGATTTCCTTCAATTGTAACATAATTACTCAAATGAAGAAAAACCATCTTTTACATTTTGCAAAAATGGAAGTGGATAATATATGTCATCTTTTACATTTGACAAGGGAACAAAATTTGGAGGAACAAATGTCACCAATCAAATGGATAAAACAAGGGATACAAGGTCAATGATCCATCTCAAACTAGTTCAAGAACACTAATCCTCTCCACTTTGTAGGAAAAAAATTCCAAAGGTTAGGTCTCATATCCAATCCACCCTACCAAGAACACATATACATGGGACTGACATTTGGTAATTGCCTTTTTTAGGTTCTCTAACGTTCTAACCTCCCTACATGGAATTTAATAGGGTTTTCCCAGTAGTGATATTGGGTATTGCCATCGCCAAGGACTTTCTTCTCTGTATTCCTTTACAAAATAATAGGTTGAGAATCATCTTCAAGAAAATGAACTTATGTATCTAAATTCCCTCAGGTGAAACCTACTAGCTCTTTAGACATTTGTTCTTTCTTAATCTCCCTCAGCAATTCTATGTGATATCCAATGCAGTCCTTCATATTTTGACATAAAATTTCCTCTAGGTTATTACCATGAAAACATAGTTTTTTCATACTTGGTTACCTATAGCAGTAGGGTTCCATATTGTGTTGGTTGGTTCAACCTTTTGAGTAAATTCCACATCCACAAACATGTCCCGCCATGTCCTTAAATTAATCTATCTGGGTACCATAACATAGTGCATCAAGAGGGTGAATAGGCCCAAATCTACATTACCATCCAACAATGCCTAAATTGCTTTGCATTCTTTAGTAAATGAAAAGATTTTCCTGTATGCATTTGAAAATATATTGGTAAAACAGCAATGTGGATTTCCTAAGAACTGATTATTTTTTTATCAGTCTCTTTATTGAATTAGAAGTAATAAAAAAAAAAAACATAAATGGTGTTCCAAACACTCCAAATCCTCTCGGGGAACTAATCCCCAAGACAAATGATTCATAGATGCTCCTTAGGTTGTGTTTGGTTGCAATGCAAATAAATTTACACTGATGCAAAACTATGGCAGTGCAAATGATTTGAGTGTAAATTCTGACCTATTTTTGTTTCAAATTTTAGCTTATGTTGTTTGATTGTAGTATAAATGAAGTAAATTAAAACATGACACAGAATAAAGTAAAACCAAAATAAAATTAAACAAGTGTTTTGCATTTTTTTTTTCATTTGCACTCCCATGCATTTGTACTAGTGCAAATAAAATTGCACTACAACCAAACACAGCCTTAAGAACTGATGTACGATTTTATCATAACCAACTGACATCAGACTCAAACACCAGCCAAAAATACATATACTCTGTGCACATAAGTTTCCTCCTAAACTAAGCCAAATCTATTTCATAGGTCTCAGATAAAAAAAAAAAAAGAACAAACTTCAAATGCCAAAACTGTATCCAGATTCAAGAGATCATCCTAAACTCACTTGCAATGCATCTCAACCCTTTTGATTTCCAATATATAATAGTTAAACTGAAGAGCTTGAGATATAAGTAGGGAAACCTTTCATTTTCTCATCCAACTCTGAATCTATAATGCCATTGACGAAACACTGAGCTTGAGATTTTTCATTTTCTCACCCAACTCTGAATCTATAATGTCGTTGACAGAACACTGAGCTTGAGAACAGCTGATGAAAAGGGGGGAACGATTGTTCATTGAGAATATCCTAAATTCCTAATTGACCCTTTCGAGGTTCCATATTCCTTTGACAGCTTACTATCATCACATACTCGTGTAACAACATGTTCTTATTTCCCTAAGAGAAAAACATGTATTGAGTGAAACTGTGATACCTAAATATTGTCTATCCAAATCACAATTTCAACTCTACCTATGCTCTCTTCAGGCATGGAACAGTAATATATTACACAAATATATGGAAATAATACCTAGTGTAATTGAGATATATAGTTAAAATGTAATTTGATAGGTTATTTAGAACAAAAGATGCAAGATGAGAATCAAGAAGCCATAGAATATTTGAAATTAAAGGTTCCTTGATAAGATTTAAAGAAAGTTCAGTCATCTTATAAAAAATAACATATTGATGAAATTTCTATTAATTTCTGAAAATGAGCATCAGAAGCCTGCACTATCCTTTCAGGAAAAAAAAAACCTTTCCTGCTCTATAACAGAAGTGACTACCAGTCTGTTCAATGATCAGAACATTATGTATCATCAGCAAAATCATTTTATTATTATAACAAAAAAGGAGTATCATAGATTAAGATGGCATTAAGCCATTAACTGAGTAATAAAATGAACATAAGTTAAATTAATAAAAGGTAGGAAGATATACATCCAATAAAACTGTATACAAGATATATGCACAAAGATCTCCAGGACTACTTTCTTTTTTCAATTTTCTCAGATTTAAAGCACATAGCATGGAAGGGTAGGATAGAAGGTGATTGCTTATTTGTACATGTTAACAGGCTACCATTTACAATAGAATTTCTACTAAACAGCATTAATTAGTTAAGTTTAGCCTCTATACAGATTTCACAGAAAAGAACGACTTGAAATTTCTTTATTATAATGTTCTGTTGTAGTTGTATCACTGTATGGCTCAGCAGGTATCCTGCTAGTAGGTTTTTTCCTCAAAATCATAAATACATTAAATCTTTCTCGTGAAATGTTTCTTCAAACATGACTAACCTCTTTAAAAGCGACAAGGAAAAAGAAAACAAAAGGAGCAGAAGTTTGGGTAAATTACCATGTTATCAGTGGGGACGAGCGAAGAAATTAAAAAAACGCAAACGACTCATGCACAGATAAATCTTAAATAGCTCACCCTGTGCCTCATCTATTCATTTTCCGAAGGCTACGCAAAGCACAAACCAAACTTGCACTAAGTTATAAACATGCATTCCAGACTAGCATTCAAATCTTCTGGGCAAGTACTCCCTCCCTCCAAATGAGTAGGTTCATCCTTAACTGTGCATCTCTCAATTCTCAACTTACTGGCGTCGTTAAATAGACAAGACTTAAAAGAAAATACGCGCGCTTCACCTGGTTCGGAGATACAGAAAACATTAAGCCCTTCAAAAGCCTTCACAACCAGCTATTTTCTATCACATCAACTGCAGAAATATGTCAGGTTTTAACGAAACCGAGCCTGGAAATTTTCACAAGACAACAAGCAAGAAAAGACCGACTCAGATCACAACGAGAAGACAATCAAAAACACCGCTGCTTGCCTATCCGTCTACGCTCCGCTCTATTTGGATGTAAAGAGGGAAATAGAAAATATATAAACATGTATTTTTCGTTACACAAATTAATAAATTATTATGCAGAGAAATTAAAAACCTAATCTGTCAGTTATCTAATGCTTAGGTCGACATGCATGAACATGGGCATGGCTGAAGGACGTTATTATACTAGTTATTAAAGAAACAAACCCAGTAAACAGTACAAAATTAGTTAAAATTATAGCTAAAGAGAGAAATAATGGCAAGGAAGAGAAGGTCGTCACCGGAATCTACAGAAGAAACGGTGAGGGCTTTGAACTGGCACTCGATCCTCGAGAGGAACATCATAGCTTCTTTAAAGGGTTTGGTGAGCTCCTGCTCGTACTTGGTGAGCATCTCGCAGTAGGCCTCCATGAACTGATCGAGAGCTGGATCTTCGCCGATGCAACCCCTTCCGTTACGGCCCATGGCCTCCTCGGAAGCGCATGCCTCCTCCAACTTCGCGACCACTTCAGGAGGTGCTCCGACCTGTCCGGCCGTATGTTAAAGAAGGATCAAACAACGAAAACGGAAATTAACATGAAAAGGATTGTTACCCTTATATCTTCCTGGTTTAATGGGTTTTTGGTTTTACCCTTCGTGGAACCAAATCTTTGGATAGAAGAATAAGAAAGCAAAAGATTGCAGTTACAGACAAGGTTTTGTTCCTTAGAATCAAAATCTCTCGATTGGAAGAAGATAATATGATGAGATCGTTGACAAATTTTCAGTTCTTTTTCTTTTCTCGTCCATTCAGTAAGTCGGTTCTGATATTGTATGGTAAATTATCGTTCACCTTTTGACAATTGACGTAGGCCGACAGGAGACGAGGATAGTGAGGATGCGCCATTATCTTAGCCCTGATAGAGCAGCTGCTTCCATCGTTGTTGTTGTTCCTGTTGTTGTTCTCCATGAAATAACACCCAGAATTGCTGTTGTTGTTGTTGTTGCTATTATCCTCGAGTATCAGAGACGAACCAGTACTGCCGATATGGTTGTGGTTGTTGCCGGAAGGTAGAGGAAGAAAAAGACTATTTGTTTCTGCATTAGGAGTAGAAGTTAGGAGAGGCATCATCATCATGGAAGAAAGTCCATTACTGTTATCTCCAAAACCCATCAGACAAGAATTACTACTAGGACCACCCTCCATAACTCTCTCTCTCTCTCTCTCTCTCTCTCTCTCACCACGCCTTGTTGCCTTTGTACTTGATATTTTGTTTGCTTTCCCTAGTTAAATAACCATAACTAGAACATCTCTCTCTGACTCTCTTTCACTCTCATTTTTTTCCTTTTCTCTTTTGGTTGTTATCCACCCC